TATATATTTTTTTAAATTATTCTAATTAAGATAATATAGATTAAAGTTATTAAATAGAATATACTTTTTTTAATTATTTAATTATTTTTTAATTATAGCTAAGTTAAAAGAATTAATTCTATTAATTAATATTAAATTTAAATTATATATATTATAAATAGTAATTAATCTTAGCTAATTCTTACTATTATTCTTCTTTAATTATATTTTTAATATATATATATTTCTTAATAGATATTTAACTTTCTATTAATTTTAATTAAGCTTTTAATTAATATAGAAATAAATTCTTATATTATCTTTAAATTAATACGCTAAATAAAAAATACTAATATTAAGATTATAAAATTTTTTATTATATTCTATAAAGTATAATTTCTAAATAATTAGAATATTAATTTTTTAAAATACTCTATTTATAAATAATGTTATTATTATTTCTAATTTCTTTTTAATATTATATTATAAAAGTTTTATTCGCTAATATTTTAATTTAAGATCTTTAACTATAAATTTATATTATATTATTCTTTTTAATTAAGATCTTAATTAGATTTTTAATCTCTTAATTTTTAATCTATTTAATTATAACTATTATTATCTTTATTATTAAGACTTTAATACTCTCGACGAGCTTTATATCTATAAAAGTCTTTTAATATCTCTTTTAATAAAAACTTATTAATAATCTTAATCTTTTTATTCTTATTTTTAATTATAATATCTCAACTGTTATTATTACCTTCTTATCGCTATCGCTATTACCTTCTTATCGCTATAATTATTATCTTATCTTTATTAAGTCTAGCGATCTTATCGAGAGATAGAGTAGTTAAGTAACTCTATCGCTAACGTATTATAAAAATAAAAATAATAATAATAATAACGCTCTAGTCGCGATATATATTCTTAAGAGTTTAAGTCTCTTTATATAGTTATTAGCTAAGAGCTAAAATCGCGATTAAAGAAGCTACGCGTTCTATATCTCTAAAAATTTAAATCTTTTCTTATAATTATCTACTAGAGATTAAAAACGCGTATATATATTAATTCTAGTAATTTAAGTTTACTTTTATAGTTATTAACTAGAATATATTTAAAAGAGTTAAAAATAAAATCTATTTAGAGATAAAATATATTAAATTATATTCGATAATATAAGAAAATTAGCTTATAAAAATTACTTAATTAATAACTATTACGAATTAATATTATAGATCGAAGTCGATCTTTATTAATAAATACGTTAGTCTACTAATTATTAAATAAAATATTCTTAAAATATAATTAATATCGAATTTAAATCTTCTAGAGATTTAAGTTTTCTCTTATAATTATTAACTAAAAGTAAATATCTCTAAATTCGATTATCGCGTATTTTAGTTAATAGAATAGAAATATTATAATATTATTACTAATTAAAGTAATATTATAGTAGTATTTATAAGATATAATTAATTTAAATAAAGAAGATCTCTAATAATAATACGAAGTAAGAATTTAAACTCTATAGAGCGTAATATATAATAATAGCTATTATTAATTATTTAGACTAAATAAGATTATTTATATAGCTCGAGAGAATAGTATATATATATTAATATATCGAGAGCTATAAGAATTTAATTATTTTATAATAAGAGTTTAAGACGAAGTAGAGAGTAAGTTAAAGTAATATCGTATATCTAGTATATATAAGAGATATACTTAAGAAATAAATAGCGATTAACTTAGATAATAATTAGCTTTATTTATTAATTATATAAAACTCTAATTTAAAGAAATAATTCGAAGTTAAGAATAAATAATAATCTCGAAAGTAATTATAGAGCGTAAATTAGATAGAGAATCTAAAGAAGTAGAATTATAATCTCTTATATTAATCGTTAACTAATAAGAGACTAAAGAAGTAGAGAGTAGATATCGTACTGAAATTACTATCAATTAAAGATTTCTAAATCAATAAAAATATTAGTATAGTAGAGAGGATTAGAGTCGAATTAAAGATAACTTTATTGAAATCTAACTAAAGTTAAAAGTTTCGCCTTTACGTAGATACGTATAGAAAAGATTAGACTTATATACTTTCTTTATATAAGTAAAGTATCGAATATTATTTTAGATAACTATATTTTAATTAAAGAAAGTAAAACGTTAAATATATTTTAATATTCTACTCGAAGTAGATAAAAAAGAGATAAACTTTAATAAGAGAGGTTAAAATAAGCGATATACTAATTATATTAATAATTTTAAGAGAAATAAAGATATTCGCTAAATAGATTATTTAGATAAACTTTTTAAATTAATTTTCGCTCGCTAATATATAGCTATATAAGTTAATTTTTTAGAGATAAATAAGAGATATTATTAGATTAAAAGCTTAAGAGAGAAATTAAAAAGTTTAAAATATAAATATAATAGAAAGATTAAAACGTATTATAAAGATAGCGAAAGAAAGAAAAGTAAGAGTTTTTATTCTAGTTTAAAGAGATTATATAAGATTTCTCTTATAAATATATATATTATCTATATAGTAGTCTATAATTACTCTTTATAATTCGAGTAAAAGCGTATATAAATAAATAAATAATTATAATATCTTATTTATTATAGTATTAAAATTCTTATATAGATTAATTATATCGATTATTATCTTTCACTTCTTTTTAAATATTATTAATATAAATTTTATCTTAATTTTAATAGAATTTATTAATAATATTCTCGAGTATTTATAGAGTAAGATTTTATTAATTATTCTTTATATAATTCTTTATCTCTCTCTAACTTTTAATAAATAAATTTTATTTAAAATTATATATTCTTTCTCTTTATATAAAATATAAATTTTTAAAATTATAAATATTAGCTTTTTATAATTTTAAATATTATATATTTAATTATATCTTATATATTAAATCTTATTATTATATAATATAAATATATATTTATACTTTTAATATTTAAAATATTAAATTAATAAAATTATCTAATTATATCTCTTAATTCTTTTTATCTTATTATTATTTATTATATTATTTATAATTAACTTATTTATTATTTTTAAATTAATAATATTAATAACTAGTAAGAAATAGCGCTTTTATTTTCTCTCTACTATTATTATTACTCGAGAATTATTTATTTAATATATTTTAACAATTATTAACTTTAAATAAAGATTTCTATTATTATCTTTAATCTTCTTTTTAATTATTATTAAATTCCTTATATCGAATATCGCGATATATATTTTATATATTATTATTAAAAATAATTTTCTAACGATCTTAATTAATCGATATATCTTTTTTATCTATATAATATTATATTTTAATACTTCTTTAATCTTCTCTATTATAACTCTTATTATTAAATTCTTACTTTTTATTTTATTTATAATTATCATTTACTTTATATATATATATTCTTTATTTTTAAATATCGCTAATAAACGCTTATTAATTATTTTTTATATAAATTCTCTCTTTTTCTCGCTCTTTAGCCTTATTACTAATTATCTTATTTTTTCTAAATTTTCTATTATAATTATATTAGATATCGATTAAATCGCTATTAAACTTTTTATTAGATTTCTAGATATTTTATTAAATAAGTCATCTCTACTTTAATTATTTATAAAAAAGATTTTTCTTATTAATATACTCTTTTAACTATTTATTAATATCTATAAGCTTTCTAATTTATTTCTTATTTAATAATCTTTTTAGCAATATCTCTTTTTTTATATAAATACTATTATCTAGCTTATATTTTCTCTAAGAATCTTTTAAATAAATACGTTTAAATTCTTTAATAATAATTTTTTAATAATTTTTAGAAATAAAATCGCTATCTTAATTTAAATTAATATACTTTTTTTTAAAAGAATCGTATTTCTCCTCTTTATTATATATATCTCCTCTTTCTCTTACGCTCTATCTTCGTCTTTACTTCTCTTATATTCCTTCGCTATAGTATTAATTATACTTTACTTACATTTCTTAAACACTTTATCTTCTATTATCTATTATAATAAGCGTACTTCGAATATTTTTAATAAGCTTAATTAATAATTATTAATATTAGATAAAATATATTCTCGTTTCTTTTAATTAGAATATAGTTAAGTTTATATATATAAAATAAATTATTACTCTTAATTATTACTTCTAATATTCTTTCTATATATCTAAATTAATATAAACTTATTTTATTCTTTCTACGTATTCTATATATTACTTACGTATTTTACTTATTACTTACTTATTTTTAAATTTAAATTTATTAATATTAATAAATATAATAATAATTAATTAATTAAACTTAATTAATTAAGAATAAATAAGATAATAATTATTTTTTAATATATAATATCGAATAAGATTAAAAATAATATATTATTATAAATAAGTAATTTAAAGATATATAAGAGATATTAAAGAAAAGATAAAGTATAAGTAATAGAAAACGTCTATCGATTATATTAATACGCTTTAATAGTTATATTAATTAAATATAAAATTAAATATAAAATTAAATATAAAATTAAATATAAAATTAAATATAAAATTAAATATAAAATTAAATATAAAATTAAATATAAAATTAAATATAAAATTAAATATAAAATTAAATATAATATTAAATATAATATTAAATAATAGCTTTAAAGTTTTAGAAACTAGATTTTATATTCTATAATTTCTCTTTTTACTTGTTTTTAAATACTTAATAGGACGACGAATTATAAAGTTTTCGAATTTTAGGATATTGCATTAGTGGCATTAGTAGGTAACATCGAGTAAAGGTGTTTAGCGCCAGCTTACTATGCCTGCTTATAATACAAACTCGTTTTTGAGGGATTGAACTCCAGATTCTTCTTCGAAACCCCCTTTTCCAAGAAGTATAAGCTTCAGATCCTCGGCAATTTGCATGTTATTGATCTAAGCTTCAGAGCTTTGCACGCTTCTACAGACACAAAGACTTTCTTCAATATGGCCACTGCTATTGCTCTCTATACGTTTCTTGCTGGTTGCACCATCGCCTTGGTCGCACGCTGGATCACAAGTCATGCTACGGAGGATAGGGGTACTCTTTCAGTATCCCAGAAAGATCCATTCTGGGGTCTCGATATCGTCTATCAAAGATTGTTCAAATTCGACAAGACGCATATCAACCAAAACTGGGAGGCCCAGTTCAAAAAGAATGGCGACACTTTCCGAAGTAGACCTTTTGGCCAGACCGAAATTTTCACGACATCCCCAAAGATCATTGAATCAGTACACTCAAAAGATTTCGGGTCCTTTGGAGTAGAGGCTTTTAGAAGAAAGGCTATATCCCCACTCGTTGGTCCAGGAATTGTGAGCGCTGATGGCGAGGAATGGAAGATCGCTCGCAAATTGATCTCTCCAGCTTTCGTCCTGCCGCATGGTCCAAATTTACGCTTCTTCGATCTCCATGTATCGAGACTTCTCGAAAGGCTTCCTCTTGACGGCTCCACGGTCGACTTGCAACCGCTTTTCCATATGCTGTCTCTCGATGCGTCTACAGAATTCATCTTCGGAGAATCTTTCAACTCTCTGGGACCTAATGGCATGTCCATTGAAAGACAAAAATTTCTAGATGCGTTCAACTACGCAATCACGGGCATTGATAAGAGACTCTGGCTACGGTCTTGGAACCCTTTCATCCGTAACAAGAGATTCTGGCATTGCTGCGCGATTGCGCAAGCCCACTTTGACAAAGCGGTTGAGACATGTGCTCTTCAGCGTAGTTCGAGATATGCCGATGAACTCAAGGATCCAGTGTTGGTTCATGAGCTACTTGAGCAGACTGACGATCGACTATTTATACGACATCAATTGATGAATACTTTTCTACCTAGCCATGACTCAATTGGTGTCCTCCTTACCAATGTTTTTTTTGTGCTCGCTCGTCAGCCTATGGTTTGGTTCAAGCTGCAAGAGGAAGTTACTTCCATTGGGGACTCAGAGTTGAATGCATCGGATCTCAAGAAGCTCATTTACCTCCAGGCCGTTATACAAGAGACTCTCCGTCTCTACCCCAGTCTCGGTATGCGGGAGCGCGTTGCCCTTCGAGACACAACGTTGTCGCGCTCCGAGGCTGAGAACACCCCTCTTCTTGTCAGAAAGGGAGACGTGATTATGATTAGCTCCTACGCTCTGCAACGCCGAAAAGACCTTTGGGGTGCCGATGCAGATGAATTCCGTCCTGAGCGGTTCCTCGACGCGAAGCTAGAACCGTGGACAATCATATCGTTTGGGGCAGGACCACGTGCATGTCCAGGACAACGTATCGGAATTTTTCAGGTGGCGTACACCATTGTCAGGATACTACGGACATACACAGGAATCGAGAATCGAGATCCAGTGATGGGGTTCGAAGAGCTACAGCAACTAGCAAGCAGAAGTAGGAATGGTACAAAGGTTGCTTTGATTCCAGCTAAGGGCATGGCCATTTAAGGCTTTGCAGGAATCGAAGGGCATCTTGCCGATTAGTCCCCCAACTCGTGGAAAGTGTCGTGCTGCGCAATCTCTAGGAAAGAACACCGCCAGTGGAGAGCGTGCATGGAATCACGCGAGGGTCAGCAAATATCGCTTGTAGTTTTTCTTGAAATCGCAAACTTGGTCTTTGATCTGAGCCTGTAGAAGAACGTTTATGACTACAATTTGTGACATGCCAGACAACAAAGATCACCTGTTCTCGAAGATGCTGACTCATTCCATAGCGTTATGCACTAGTGTATTGTTACCTGACCTTTCACAAAATTCAAAATGATGCTTTGGCTACTCTGGCTTACTTGATAAGCATAACAATTTGTATTCTCAGCTTTATCTCTCTCAATCATCTAACACATGCCCGAGTCCCGCTAAGAAACGATATATGGAGCTGGAATCAGAGCGGTTCCTATCTGCAAGTGTCGAGAACCTCCCCCGCAAGAGACTGTGCGAAAGGGGGCCAAGCTTTTCTCCTTTGCTGGAGTTACCCTATACAGAAGAACCTTGACTATACACCTTTCACTAGTGTTGTTGTATACTGCTCTTAGCTATATTCTCATCCATGTCAATTGCAAAGCATGCAAGTGGGTACCCGCGAACGGTATGCTAACGTCGACTATCTTACTACTTGTGGATTCGCTTATCTGTCCTAGCAATCGATGGTTTATCGACCTTGCACAATGCACAGACTCAGGAGCTCTACAACAGCAGTAAATACGCCGGCCATCCCCTCGACCCCAACGTGGACGAAGCATGGCGCCTATTGCTGCGACCTATGGACATCCGCGTCACGGCGGCAGAGCTAGCTAGAAACAATCGTACATCTGTACAATTACCTAGAGACAGGGGATATCTGGCATGGTTAGGTGTTTTCCACGAGTTGCATTGCTTGGTAAGATTTATTGCAGACTGGTCTTAAATTCGCTTACAAAATAATGCAGAAATTGCTGCGGCAATGGAAATACAAAGAGCAATACTTTCCAAATATGACATCTGCGCAAGCGTACGACATGGATAGCCATACGGGTATGATGCCTACTACTACTCGCAACATGAGTCGCACTTACGAAATTCTAGATCACTGTCTAGATCGCATCAGAGCTACGATCATTTGCCATCCAGACATTGCGTCACTCACAACATTCTTCTGGGGCAGCGGTACAAAGCCGACAGTTGACGGAACTAAGACATTGCACTCATGTGTTGATTGGGACGTACTAATGGACTCGATAATGGGCCGAGCTGTAAGCTCAGAGGAGGTTGACACTCTAGTCAACCCTTCATTATAGTACAACTATCACAAGATCAGGTAACATTCTCCCTCCTACGTTCCATTCTGCCCTTCTCTCTCATACTACGCGGTCAGCCAACATAAGGACTAGGTCTGCCACATATCGACTAAATGGGTGAGTTGATTCCAGTCCTGGCACTGGTGCTGGATCCCAAATCCGTGCACCCCCCTTAATGTTGGGTCCTGAATTTCAACAGTAGTATCCGTGTGGCACATTAAGGTCTGACGGAGTAGGTCCAGGCAATGTCGAATATGCGAAGGAGAAATCTTTCCCTCAAAGTCGGAATCTGTCACCCCAGAACCTTCAGTCGCCATCTTGTGCACCGACCAGTAACCCTGACGAATACTGTTCTGTCCAAAAGTGTTAGAACAATTTTCTAAAGAAACGTTACACGATGACATACTAGGCAATGAAGCTGGTGATAGACAGAGAATGTCGAGCGCTGCGGCGCCACCACTGGGTGGCTAAACCATGTCCCACGAGGTGGCAACATCTCGCTCCATGCCTGATCTGTTTTGGTTGTGGAAGCCTCTGCAAATGTTCGGTTGTACCGAAAGACTTCTAAGATCGTATTGACTGTCCGATTGTTGTCAAATAAAATTTTGGCCAGCGTCGACGGGGAACATATTGGGACTCACGCTTGATGCCTGAGGGTGACACATGTTCAGAATCTGCAATTTTTCCTACGTGAAACCCCACAGCAGCAACTAGACTGGTCCAAAATACAAGTATCACCACTAGAGCGACTAGGCTGAGGCACCGATTCTTATTATCAGGATATCGATGGCCTTGAACTGCAGCGTATGCTGCTTTTCCACTACAAGGTAGTACCGAAAACATCTTGATTTTTAAAACAAAACGGTACGCGTTTTGAAATTGCTGTCGTCTACTGAAGCAGTTGCTTGAGAATATTGGGGGAACTGTGTTTGACCCTGAAAATTGAAGAGTCATCCGCAGACCCCGCTCATATATGGTCTGACGTGGCTTGCAGCTAGGCTGTCATGCAGAAGTAAGACGGCATTTGCTGGGCTTGGTACTGTTGTCGATCCCAATGGCTTAACTCAGCCAAATACAGGTGTTTCGTCCGATTGCAGAACGCAAGGGCGCATCATCAAGCGGCATCTTACCGTGGCTTGCGTGCACGGGACGGAGTATAGGTATCCGAGTATCTACGCTTGCCGTCAGCCGCTTACCTTTAGGCTTCCGCAATGTAGGTATCCAAAGAGTGCTCAGTGATGATGCAGGTTCTTGTCAGATTGATACTAATAAATTTCAATTTCCCCGCTCCCCCCAAAAGCCGAGAACTAATTGTATTTTTCGCTGGAGGCCTCATATTATCGAATTCCCGAGTAGTCTTGATAACTCGCCTTGTGGCCTTCCATTTGGATTGCTGTTAAGTCAAAGACCATGATTTACGATACTACAGAAGCAATAGCGCTTGAGTGCTTCGGCATTGCTCAAAGAAACCTCCCGAGCAAAAATAGAGCAAGAACAGGAAATAAAGCAACCACGACCCCAGCAGCAGCATTGGTGTCGAGAACAATGTTAACGAAAACACATGAAGCTCCCGGAGCGAGTGTCTACGAAAATTCAGAGATTCGGGCCATAGAGCAACTCATTTCTGCGAGATCCGAGAACATAGGCCATACATCGGAGAAAGCAGGAGAAAGTCGAGATTCTACCGGGTGATACGATGGAGTTCCTTGAACTGCTAGAAACGACGGGTGTAAGTGAGAAAACGCTATTGTTGGATTGCGAAAAGCTAAAGACTTATAGTCATAAAGGATATGGCGTCGAATACTCAGACGGGTCGTATGCTTCTTGGAAGCAGAGTTTACTGGGTTAGAGGCAATTGTTGTGCATCATCTATTCATCTCTTCCCTGAGTTTCCAGGCCTATAGTCAAACCTTGGGAGACTGGATGGCAGTTGTTCCACTAGCCCCTCTATCTAGTCACGTCTTGTCTATGAATGTGCGGTTCTCGGAGGTGTAACATGCGCACAGTTCAGACAACACAAATGTATCTTAATAGTTGTAGCAAAGTAACTCCGTCTCCGTTCTAATCACTTTTGAAATCTGGATGCTCGGAGCAAGATAACCTAGGTCGAGGGATTTGGTCACATGTGAATAGATGGTCTCATCCGTTATAGCGGTCGAATCACTCGTGTATCTGATTTGGGGGGTCTCTTTGTTGCCAGATCCACCATAGCCTATCAAGCTGAGTGTGATGAAGGAAAAACACGGGGTCTGTAGGGATGATCAGCTACTGTCGCCCTTGGAACCCAGCATTTGAGATGCGCACCGTTGGGAGCCGTCACACGATAGAAGTCACCGCGTATGGTGAGCGGAATAGCATCGTGAGCATCAAGCTCAAGTCGATATGAGAATGTAGCGTAATTGGTTGCATTCAACACATTTTCAAGTACCTCTGGTTGGAGTTTCTTCGCAGTGTTTTGGGCTGTGGACTCTCTGACATCAAAACCACGGGACAGACAGTGTGGCTGGCTTTCGCGACCATAGTAGAGTACTTTGAGGTTTGCAAACGGGCCATCGGTAACACAATGACCATAGGCAACGGATTTTGTATCACTTGCATTGCCGTTACCACCGAAGCCGCGGTCCCCGCTCAGAATGGGTGACTGTTTAATATCTTCCCAATCCAAGCCCCAGTCCCAGTACCTGTGGCTATGACTTAGCGATAGTCAAGGTCCCTCGTGTTGAGTATGGAACGTTACATACGCTAGATGACCCCGATAACCACATTCTTCCTTCAGCGCAGTCTCGTAGACATGTAGAAAATATCGGTGCCAAGGAAGAAAGTCACCCGTCCTATGCGCTATCTGCGAGGTTAATGACGAGGTGTCGGAATGTAGACTGCGCAAGATTGAGGGCGTACAATTATTGCCATTGCGAGTATGGACCCACGGGAAGTCATCATACAAGGAATGGTCAAGGCCAATCTTAGACGGTCGCGTTCGGAGACAATGAACAGCTGAGAAGTATCGCTCTTGCTCCGGTTGACTCAAAGTCCGCCACTCCCTGCGAACTGTAGGCTTCAAGCACGACACTGATGCTTTATCGAAGTCCTCTGCCAGGTCTTCTGTGAGGACCGAACTGTTACTGTGGAAAATAACGAACGCAAGAACCGACAACATAAAGACAAAGATGATCGTCAGAACTTGACCATATGAACATTGTCGCTTCTCACTAGAAAGGAAATACATTATCCTCTTTCCTTTGACTTGAGACTTCTCTTCATTTGTTAAGCTGAGAAGAGGTGAACTCTGCGCCTAGAATGTGTAATGTAAAAAACGTTCAACACTAAGGCGTAATACACGTAAGCGCCCTTGTTTTCCGTATACCATCCGTACAGCTCTCCACGTAGAGTACAGTCCGTCGGATTTGGCTGGGATTCGCGATCACGAGAGTAATCTATGCGCGCTTTTTAAAGTGTGATGCACTTTGTTGAAGCGTACGTATCATGTTTTCACAGCAACTCCGCAACGAACGGCCTCGACTACCTTGTTAGTGAAGGATCTGAAGAAGGTTTTTGGCAATGCAGATCAAAGCTGCTGTGCCTTCAAAGTAGCTCTGCATCCGACGGCGCCGACTACTTCAAGGGGTAAGAACGTGATGAGTCGTTTACAAATCCTCGTCAAGGCTGCTGTTTTTTTTTTCCGGAACGGGCTTGTACCCAATTTATATGAATATAGTGCGACTGACAGTCTATCGTACCGAAGTGGAAGATGTTGGCAATTAATAGGCTACGCCGAATACAATTAGAGCTAGGGCTATATATAACTACTATGTAAATAGATTACGTATATATAATAGATAGATTATAAGAAAAGAACTTTATATAAGTAGATATAGATCTAATATAAATATAAAAAGTCGCTTATTAAATTATTAGAGATTTATTCTCTTCGAGTTATTCGATTTCGATTTATAGTCTATAATAAATTAGATTACTTTAGAGATTATATCTTAGCTTTTCAGACGTATTAGTTTTATATATACGTTAAATAAATTAATTACTTTAATATATTTAAATTATAACTATTTAATTATAGCTCTTAATTATATTATAGCTAAGAATTATAAGTTATAATTAATAACTATAAATTATTAAAATTAATACTCTCTCTTTATTTAATTATTAGAAAGATAAAGATAATAAAGTAAATAGTTAATATTACTTTTCGAAAAAATCTTTATAAAGAAAGTAGAGAAAGTAGAGAAATAACGTAAACTTTTAATATAGCTTTTTAATTTATTCTCTCGAGATACGTAATAATTCTTATATATAATATAATTATTTCGAGAAAATATATTTAGATCTTATATAATATCGAATTTTCTTAATAGCGATCTTCTAATTAATTAAATAGCTATATATCTTAAATAGCTCTTTATATTATTTAAATAGCTTCTTATTAAATAATTTAATAAGAATATCTATTATTATTTAAATTATAGATATATAATTTATAATAATTATCTTATTCTTAATTAATTAATAAATATAATAATATTAAATATCGATATATTTAGCTTTTTAATAATATTTAAAATTCTTTATAAGATTAATAATTCTCTTATTATTATTAAATAATATTATAAGACTTTTATTTAATATTTAAAAACGAACTTCTTATAGCTATTATATAGTCTATATAATAATTTCATCTTCTTTTATTAAGATTATATATTTAGCTTCTATTATTATTTTTAACTATATTATATATATATATTATTTATATATATAGTAAAGCGAATTTATAAATAAACTTATAATCTCTCTAACTATTATCGTATATTAAATTCGCGAATTTATTTAATATTTTTAATTTCTTAATAGCGTAATTCTAAGAATATTATACTTTATATATACTTAAATACTTAATTTAAAATATTTATATAGCGAATAAAAGAACTATAGTAGAATTAACTAAGCTTTTCTATAACGATAACTAAATTAATTCGAGTACTAGTTATAAAAAATATAAGATTTTCTATTTACTTTTAATATTATAGTTAACCTATATATTCTTTCTCTAATTAATTTAATTTAATTAATTTATATCTATTAATAGAGATATAAATAAGAGTTATTTAACTTATTAAATACTCTTTAAATATCTTTTTAACGTATTATATTTATTCGATAGTTAAGATATAAGATTTTTAATTATAATAAATTTAAATATCGAGAATATAATTAATTAGATTTACTTCGATAATATTAAATTCTTTATAAATTTAATACTTAATATAATGTATAATACTTAATATATTAAAAATTAATAGAAAAATGATTTATATAAAGTATTATAATTATTATTTTCTTTAATAATATTTAAATAAAGATATAGCTATTAGCTATAGTAATTATAAATCTTATTTTCTTAATAATATACTTAAATTTCTTATTCTAGATATAGATTAATTACTTAAAATTATATAATTCTTTTTTAAAAAGTAATACTTTATTTTTAATATTAATTATTAATAGATAGTCTAATAATAAAATTATACAGACTTTTTATAAAGGTCGCTAATAAGATAAGTATTATTAATATTTATTTATTTTATTAGAAGATTTATTATTACTATATATAATAAAGATAAATATAAGAAATCAAATTATAAAGTAGAGATAAAGATCTTATAAAAGTCGATATTTTTTACTTATAAAAACTCTCTAGTAATAAATCTAGCTTTAAATTCATAAATAATTTTATTATTATTATATTTTAATTTAAAAAATCTATTTATAAATAATTAGATATTTATTAATTCATAAATTAGCAAGTTTTTAAATTTCTTTAATAATTAAAGCGATAATTTTCTTAATAATAGCTTACTTTTATTCGTAGATATTTAATTTATAAATAGTCTTTTAATAAATAAAAGCTTAATTATAATATTTATAAGCTTTATCTTATTCTTTATATCGAAGTTATTATTAAACTTATAAAGATTATAATCTAGCTTTTTAATTTAAGATTATTATATAAGATAGCGATTTAATATATAAAATATTACTTAATATAATTAGAGAAATTAGAGATAGATATAAATATAATTAATTAACTAATATTAATTTTAAATACTATTTCTTAATTTTTTTTTATTGTTATTTAAAATATTAAAAGTTTTTTTAACTTCGAGAAGATTTAATAAAGATTTCGATTTAATTTAATCTACGTTTAAACTACTTCATTTCGAATCTCTACTATTATTTATATTTTCTAAGAAATTAATAGAAACTTCTCTCTCTATTTAAGAATCTTATATATTTTTAATTTTTTCGATTTATAATAACGATATAGTATTCGATATAAATCTTCTATAATTTCTTTTATTATTATTATTACTAGATATAATCTTAATATAACTCTAAATAAAGAAATTATTAAAGTTATTACTATTTTAAATAATAAAGATAATATATATTTATATAGAGTTATAAATTATTAAGAATAAAGTTTAAATTATTAGTTAAACTTTCTTACGATTTTTATAAAAATATATATTTATAAATTAATTAAATTAATTATTTTAAGAGTTTTAAATTCGATATTAAGTGAATAAATAATAATTAATATATATATTCTAATAAGTTATAGTATATAACTTATTTTTTTATTTTTCTTTTAATAAATAATTTAAGTATAGATAATTTAAGATTTTTTTATAACTTAGATTTAATTTTTTATTAAATTATAATTTATAAGATAATTTACTCTCTCTACTATTATATAATAATCTATTCTTTAAATAATTTATATAGACTATAGTCTTTAATTAAAAGCTTATAAATAAATATAATTAATTAAATATAAATTTTATAATATTATTTTAATATAGAATATAGATTACCATAAATTATATAGTAATATCTTATTTTTTAAATATATTCTTAATTAACTTATATTCTTATATTATATTAATTCTAACTAATACTACTTCTCTTACTTTAATTATTTTATTAATTATAATTATATCTCTAAAAATAAAGATATAGATCTATTTTTTTAATATAATAAACTTAAGATTTAATTAATTAATAGTCTTATTAATAAAAGATATATATTATTTATCATTCTCTATAATACTAATTACGAGATATAATTTTTAGAAGTTAATATATATTTAAGCTTTTAATAGTATTTTCTTTAATCTAAAATTCTTATTAATCTATTAAATTATTTTTATAAAGTTATATATATTATATTAAAATTCTTTTAATAATTTTATTTTCTCTATATCTCTTATATAGAGATATAGATTCTTTAAATAATACGCTTTAATATAACTTAATTATTAATATATTAATTGAAAATAATTAATTTATTCTACTTATTTTATAAATATAAATATACTTTTAATAGAAGATCTCGACTCTCTAGAAGCGAATACTTTATTAAATATTAATTTAATTAATTAATATAAGCTATTTCTTATATAACTTCTTATTATTATCTTATCTATAAATATATTAATAATTTTAATATATAGATTTTCGAATTATATCTTAAAATTCTTTTAATCTAATATTATAATAGATAGTAGATTATTATTTATTTCTAAAATATATAGAGTATCTATTATAATCTATATATAATTATCTATATAAATTCGAATAATTTCTTTATCTATTACTATTAACTCGCCTTAATTATCGAATTTTACTTTTTTTAAATAAGACTATAAGTTAATAAATAGTTTCTTATTTAATATTATATAATAAGTTACTTCGAAGTCTATTAGATAGCTACTATTCTCTAAAAAAATTATTATTATAAAGAAATTATTTATAGATTCTAGTTTTTCTCTAATTATTTATAAGCTTTTCTTTTAATTATATATATCGCTTATATCGCTAATATTATTATCGCTATTTAATTTATTTATTATTATTATAATATAATCTAAGTATTCTTATCTATTATCTTTAAATATCTTTAAATTTTTTAATCGATTCTTTAATTTATAATTTTATCTATCTAAATTCTTCGCTCTATAATTCTTATTCTTTTTATTCTTTTTATTTAAATACTCTTTTTTATAATATTCGATTTCTCTACAGCTATAATATTCTATCTTATCTATATTTCTAAGAGACTTTTAGTCTAACTAGTTATTCTATCTATTATATATAGATAAATCTTTATACTTAATCTATCTATCTTATTTTATAATTATTTTCATAATAAAATTCTTATTAATTCTTAAATTATATTTAATAATATTAAACTTACTTTTCTAATAAGTATTTATAATTATTATTATTATAATAAGATTATATAATATATAGACTAGATTTAAATCTATAACTTCGTTTTATAAATTTTATAAATCTATTATTATTTAATCGATCGTTTAATTTACTAATTTAATATATTTAAGAAATTTCTATAATATAATAGAGAGATATTCTTTATTACTTATTTTATAAATTTAATAAAGCTTATTTTATATAGATTTAAAAGTAATAAGATAAATAATATAACTTTTCTAATTTCGATTAACGTTATTTCTAATTAATATAATAATTTATCTATTTAAAATAATCTATTATTTAATTAACTCTCTATCGAATTATATAAATATTAATAGATTCTCTAATACTATTTTAAAGATATTCTATCTCTTAAGAAATTCTTAATAATTTTAAATTTATAGATAATAGTTTAAGTTCTTTAAAACTATTATTCTAATATATAATTTACTAATAAGTTTCTTATTTAGTTTTTTTAATAAATTAACTATTAATAAATTATTTAAATCGAATAGAAGATTCTTCTCTCTCTCTTCTCTCTCTCTTGTTTTATCTTTTAAATAAAAAAATCTTTTATTAATAACGCTATCTATTTAGCGAATAAATAATTTTAACTTTTAACTTATTATAGCTCTATTCTCGAGTATTCTTTAATAAAATTCTTAGAATAATTATATTCTCTAATATATAGAGAAGCTATAGTAGTAATAAATAGATATAGTAAAAGATTAAACTCTCGATTAATAATTAATTAAGCTTATAATCTATAAATAAATAATTAATTATATTTAATATAATTAGAGTTAGAGTTATATATAACTATTATATAAATAAATTATATATATATAATAGATAGAATTTAAGAAAAAAACTTTATATAAGTAAATATAAATTTAATATAAATATAAAAGTCGCTTATTAAATTATTAGAGATTTATTTCTTCGAGTTATTCGATTTTAACTTATAGCTTATAGTAAATTAAATAGCTTCGAGAATTATATCTTAATCTTCTAGATATATTAATTCTATATATACGCTAAGTAAATTAATTATTCTAATATACTATAGCTATGATTATATAACTATAGCCCTTAATTATATTATAACTAATGACTATAAGCCGTAGCTAATGGCTATAAGCCGTCAAAACCAACAGAAGATCCGAAGCCTACACTATGAGGCTAGTGCTTCTCCTTTTGTAAGATGTGATGCATGACAACAGTTTTCTGGGCGATGCTGTAGGAAATGAGCTGCATTAGAATGTATGTACACGCATAAGGTCCATTAATGCTCTCCACTCTTTCCAACATTGGGAATCCACTCGGTGCATGACTCTAAGCTTGAGTAGGTAGGTACGTTACTAGGGAAGGTGCGCTACGACTGGTGCCCTCGTGCAGTAACACAGCGGATACGCGTTTCTCCAGGGCTTGCACATTGACAGGAGCTTATCGCGTAGGTTCCATGGATGGTGCTGTGAAAGATAAACCAACAACTGATCCTGTCATCATGCATGTTTAGCGCAAAATATCAATCCCAGAGTACCTCAGACCATTAGGATATAAAATAACCGCAAGCCTTTCACATAGTAAAATTCGTTACTGTTCTATCCTCTCGCGATAATATTGAGACAAGAACGAAGATACGGATCCCTGAAATCACCAAGGCCTGGTTTCACCATGAGGTTCTCGCCCATGATTCTCAGTACGCTGGTTGTGGGATATGCATTGGGAGCACCAATGAGCTCATCAAAAGGCGAGTCCTACTCCACTACCTCCCATCTACCCTGGCTAATTTTGCAAGCAGCTGCGGGGATACGCAGCCTGCAACCTGGTGAGGATGAAATCTGGTTGAAAATGAGATCCATCGTGTGCTAATTGAATCGTGACTGGAGTAGCTAGGGACATTTCGCCAAAGACCCGGAGCGCTGAACTAGAACCCGACGAGAACATGGTTTACAGCGAGTACAAAGCCAGTCGCAGCACCGAGACTCGAGCCACAGAGGCAAAGGATCAAGATGATGAGGTGCTATACACAGAATACAGCCCCGAAGGAACCAAGCCTGTTGGCGACCGTCAGACCTGAATCTAGGATGGAGGGTAATGGTTGAAGTTGAGATGCAGAATAAGAAGGATTACATACACGTTCGTTAGCTATTCAAACCGAACTCTAGTTCGATAGATACATGGAAGCACAATATGTGAGCTGGGAACGCACTGAAATCCATAAAGCAGAGATTCCTAGACTGATTCCCACCCTTTGGCTCTCGTGGTGAGCTCACCAAACAAGCCCTCTACACTACAGTCAACGTGTTACGTTCCTAGCAGTTCCTAGCCTAGCGTGACTTGGCGTGTCGCTATTTACTTTAATTTCGTTCCTTTATAGCTTGAGAGAATCAATCAACTACTACTATACCAAGAAACACCTTTCTTTTATATATAAAACTACTTTCTCGAAGAATATATTTACTTCTTATACTTGTAATCTTAATATTTAATAGTAACATCGACTTTTCTATATTAACGTATTATTTTTTACTATTTTATATTAGAGATTATTTATTACGAATTAATTCTTTATACTCGATATATCTTTCTAATTAGATCTTAGCGCGTCTCTTCTTCGTATATATATATTTATAGATTATATAGATTAATAGAATAACTTTATATTATATATAATATTAAGAACTATTTCTTAATATTATTCTTATATTAAGAAGTTTTTTTCTATTAGAATAATACTTTTTATATTAAAAAATATTCTTTTCTTTAAATTAAAGAATCTACTTTTTTAAAGAAAATCTATTTCTTTATTATAGAAAAGTTATTATTATATATCTATAACGATTTATTATTTATTTACTTCTTACTTAAAAGAATTTTTTTCTTTATAAAATTTATTTCTTTAGAGTTATTTATCTTTTTTTCTTTATAAAAATATATAAAAACTTTAAATCTCAAGCTCTTATACTCTAAAATTCCTTCTCGAGTTTTATATAAAGTATTAAATTTCTAATATTAATTTACTTCTAAAATTAATCTAAATTTATTATTTTTTTAAAAAAAGATTTTTTTTTAAAAGAAAGAATTACTATAAGAGCTATTTAATTTCTTCTACTTTTTTAAATAGCTTTTTTTCTTTTAAAAAACCTTATTTTTTACTTTTAATACTTTCTTTTCTTTTTAATAAGATTTTTTTTTTTTTTTTTTTTTTATAATAGAGTATAACTATTTATAATTAACGAGTAAAGGCTTATAAATTAAATTAATAATCATTTTTTTTAATTAGAGCTATCGAGTAAATTTTAATAAGCGATCTTTAATAAGCGATATCTGAATTTCTTACTTTTAAATATCTATAAGACTAAATTTAATAAAACTTTTTTTATCTAAAAGTCTATATTACGTTCTATAATTTAAATAAAAAATCTTAAAAATTTAATAGAAAATAAAAAAGTTATTCTGAAATTAAATAATGTATATCTATTTTTTAATTAGAGCTGTCGAGCGAACTTTAATAAGTGAACTTTAATAAACGATATTTAAGCTTCTTACTTTTTAATAACTATAAGACTAACTTTTATAATTCTTTTAATATTAGATAGCGTAAATTACGCTTTATAATTTAAAAAAGAAATTTTAAAATCAATATGAAAAATAAAAAGTTATTCTATTTATAAATAACGTATATCTAATTTTTAATAAGAAGGCGTAAAAGAATTATCGAGTTAACTTAGCTAATTTAATTAAAGAATATAATAAATTTAAATTTAAAATTAACTATATATATAAATTCAAGATTTTTTAACTTAATTCTATCTTATTCTTTTATATATACTAATAAAGTTAGAAAATTTATTTTAATAGAATTTACGATTTTATTTATTTTTTAATTTTAAGCTTTTTTAATTTTAAGCTTTTTTAATAAAAAATCTTAAATTTCATAAATAGATTATTAATAAGAATTATTATTAGATTATTAAATTAATTATATAGATTTATAATTTATCTATCGACGTTCTTTATAATTAAAATTTATATATTTAATAAGATCGATCTTAGAGTATTAACTTAATCTCTTCTTTAAAGATTACTCGATTAAAGAAATCTCTTATCTATTCTCTTTTTTAGAATTATAATTTTAGATTTATAAGTATTTTAGTTAAAGTAATCATTATCTTTATATATAAAGTTTATTATTATATAAATAATACTTACTTTTCTATTTAATAAGCTAAAATAACTAGATTTAAAATTAAAAATATCTTTAATCTTAAGAATTTAATCTTTAATTTAAAAGATTATATATATATCTTTTTAAAGTTATTATTTTCTTCTTTTCTTAAAATAATTTAATCTTTTTACTTTAATAATAGATTTTTTTTTTTAAACTCGATAAAGATAAAGAAAGAAGATTTATTAATCTTTTTTTATTATTATTTATAACTCTTATATAAAGATCTTAATCTCTTTATCGATCTTAATCTTTATTTTTATTTTTTTTTTTTTTAAATTATATATTAAAAGTAAATTAGATTTTAAAAAAATTAAGTATATTAAATCTTTAGAATCTTTATATAATAATAAAATTAGTAAATAAAATTCTCTTTCTATTAAGCTAAGCTATATTTAATAAGATAATAAAAAATAATAATAAAAAATATCGAAATTTTTTACATATAGAGTTTTTTAATATTAAATTTAATAAATTAGTTTTTAATTAATTAGAATTTTCTAATTTAAAAAATATTATTTTAAAATTTAATTTTAGCGAAAATTAGCTTTTATAAGATTAAGAGAGCTCTTAATAAATATTATTTTTATTTATAAAAGTAGATTTAATAATATAATAAACTATATTATAAGCTATATAAGTAATTTTAAAAAATTTATAATTTATTTTTAATAATTTATTTTTAATAGATTTATAAAATCTTTTAAGATCTTTTAAATAAGTTATTTTAAAGAGATTTAATAATAATTTTTTTTTTAAATTTAGAATTTTTTTTTTAGATTTTAAAGAATTATATAATATTAATAATATTATTTTTAATAATAAAGAAATTATATATTAAAAAATATATTCTTTTTAATAATATATAAAAAACTATATTATAAATAAAAAAGAGGATATTATATATATAAATCTTTTAATTTATTTTTAAAAAGCTATTTAATTTTAATAGCTAAATATTTAATCTTAAAATAAAATAAAAGGCGATAATATAATTTTAAATAGAATTAAGAGGAACGCTTATTTAACTATAAGATTATTTTGAAATATTTATATTCTTAATCTTAAATTAATTTATAAGATAAATTTATACTCTTAATAGTACTATTAATAGATATAATCTTATAAATTATATATAGAATATTTTTAAATATATTATATAAATAGAAATCTTTAAAAAGTATATTTAAATTACTTAGATATAAGATTATTTAAAAATTAAATTTTAAATTATTATATCGCCTTTAATTTTTTAAATTATATTTTATAAATTTATAAAGAAGCTAATAATAAAAAAAAGTTATAATATTATTTTAATTAATAAAAGAAATTATAATATAAAAATATATATAAGAAAAATAAAAATTAAGAATAAGAGAGAGATAGAGATTAAGATTATAAATAACGATTTAATAAAGATAGATTTTCTTTTAGAGAATAATAAAATAAGTTTTAAAAAGCTTAAAAGTAATTATTTCTTTTTTATCGCTTTTTTATAATAAGTTCGCGAATATATAATATCTATTTTTATTAATTAAGATCGTTATATCTAGATTATAAATATTAATAATAATTAAATTTCTCTATATATTTCTCTTATATTTTTTAAACTTATATACTTTATTAATAGAATTAAGATAATTAGATATTTATTTATATTTATTTATTAAATAATAATTTTTATAAATTTAATTTTTAATTTAGATTTAGATTTAGACTTCGATTATAGCTTTAGAAAATTAAACTTTAAAAAATATTTTATTAATTCTTAAATAGCTATTTATAATTATAATTAAAAATACTTAATTAAATTAATTATAGTATTTAAATTAAATAAACTATTATAATTATAATAAATCTTTATTTAATTTAATAAAATAATAAAGCGATAATTAAGAATATAATAATTATGAATATAATAATTAAGAATTTATAGAAATATTTATATCTTAATCTCTATAAAAGATATAATTTTATAATTTTAAAAATAATAACTTTTTTTCTAAAGACTATTATAAAGATTATAATTTTATGTATTTTTAGAATTTTTCGCTATATTATATAAATAATAACTATTATTTCTATAATATATATAAGAATAAGATTTTAGAAGATAAAAAATTAAATTATAAGAATAAGAAAATCGACGTTAAATTTATTTTAATTAATTATTATATTATTATAAGTAAAGTAGAAAACTCGCTAATCTTTTAAAAATATTAAAAAAAGTTTTTATTTAATAATTAATTATATATTTATCTTAAAAAGAAATCTTATTATCGAATAATTCTTTTAAAGAATATTAAGAATACTTTTAAAGAGAAAAATTCTATTCATATATAAATTTTTAGAAAAATACTATTAATAAAGATATTTATTTCTAAGAAACTTCAAATTAATTAAATTTATAGCACCCGCGAATCTAAATAATAAAATAATCTTTCGATTATAATATTATCTTATCGAGCTATTTAATCTTTTTCTAAAAAAACTATTAAAATTAAAATATCTAAATATCGAATATTTAATAAATATAAAGAATTAAGTTTTCTTAAAAAGATTATTACTTTTATTCTTTATTAATAAGTATATAGCTTTAATTATCTTATATAAAATTAATTTAAATTAATATTTTACTAATAAATAGATTATTTATTCTTTCTATAGAAAAGATAAAATTTAAAAATTAAGTTTATTTAAGATATTTATATTATAAATAATTTTAAAATAAATCTCTTAATAAAAATAAATATATTCGATTTAAAAGAAATACTAATCGATCTTCTATAGAAGAAAGTAACTTTTATTAAATATAAAAATATCGTTATATTAATATAAGCTATTATTAA